GGAATGGGAACCAGTTTGCCAGGCAGGATTGAACACGGAGGGGAAAAGGAGTAAGTTTCTATACAAGAAAACTGAAACTAGAATCTTGTGAAGAAAACACAGAAGACAATGGAGCTGGAGTGTAAAGGGAGAACTGCATCTTTAAGAAGCATTTGCAAAAGTTAGAAGTCACTGGGGTGTGCAGCAGCAGCTTGTGTAACGCAGTGCTGGCCATGGGAGGAAGCACCCTGTCGCCAGAGCCCTCAGCTGCCAGGTAGCAGCCAGGTAGCCCCAGGGTATCCATATGAAAAAACGACTTGCAGGATAGCATAGCCTTGAAGCAACGCACTTCCTAAGACCCTCCGGGTTCTTCCAATGAACCGGGTGCAATTCTAACTAATATGCCCCTTTGTGAAATCTGATTTATTCACCTGTTGCTGGTTCCAGCATTCCTCAGCCTTCCTTTCCGAGAGGTGTTCCATGACTGAAGCTGGCTTCTCTAGTCCATCGCTGTGTAATCTCTGCGGCACATTGACCTTCTTTCCTAAAGCTAACGAGCAACTGATCTTATCCTACACATCCAATTACTTTCTGGTGTTTCACAATACCATAATAAAAGGGGTGTCAGGGAATGGGAGCGGAAGCCTGGTCTCAGCCTTTGCCGCAGCCTGCCGGGGGCTGGCCCACTGTTGCTGGAGGGAGGCAGGAGGACACTGGGTGCCACTGGGATTAGGAAAGGCTTTGCTAGGCTGGATGAAGAGCTGGGCATGGAAAACTGGAATCGGTTTGGCAAAGGGTTGGAACTGTGTGCACAGGAGATAATGTCTCTGTGAGGAGCCTGTGACTGGGACAACATGCAGACCCGGGCAGAAAGACCGAGCGTGGGGTTCAGGAGTGGAAATAGGAACGCACAAAAAATGAGAGTGAGATAAACTGCTGGGACTGGGAAAAACCAGGGCAGTCCCAGTTGCAGGGGATAAGCAGAATCAGTCAAGCATGAAAAAACGAACAGCGTGTTTTTCTTCAGCCATTTGAGTGCAATCCCCTTCAGATCCTGGAGGAAAAGGCAGAGATCCCGGGCTGGGATGCTGAGCGCCGAGGACTCTGTGGCTATGCCCAGTGTGCGGCTAGGCTGTGATAACCTACGGTCGTCTGCTGAAAGACGATCTCACAATGGCTTTAAACTAATTCATTTAATCCTGGCATTTCCTAACTTTGGTGTGCTTGACGTTGCCACATTAATAACGCTCTTTAAAGCACTCTAGAGACCACACATGCGCTATAAATGTATATAGCATCAGTCTCAAATAGTAATTCTGTGTTTGTTTTAAAATAAAGTTCCAATATCCTTTTATTTTAAATATGGATTTGGCTTGTGTGAATCTTCCTTTCAATTTTTTCCTCTTTTATACACTTTCCTAATTGTAAAAGTGCACTATAAAGTAGTTTGTGAGCTGTAATTATGATTTATAGAATAGTCCCAGTGTCTGCACATTAATTATGACTTATTATTAATATATGCATTAAATGATCCTTCATTTTATAATTACTTTGCAAGGATCTGGCCCATCCATGCTAGCTTTGAACAAAACCACACAAAGAACAGAAATCTACTGGAAGGCCTTTCAGTGTACGCTGCTGATCCTGGACAGAAGGGCGTTTTATTAATTAGCCTTTCTTCTCAGCCTCACAAAGTGGCCTTGTTCTAGGAGCTTTAAGAAAAATGAAGTATTACGAGCCTTGAGATCGAAACATGAGAAGCGGCAAGACTGTGGATGCTAAGGTGGTTCCATATGGCTGAATCTGATCCTGCGATGCTCTCTGAATTCTCCTTCTTGTTTGAATCACGTATCGTTCACCTGGCCTTACTGGTAAATGCGATCTTTCTTTCGTACGAGCCCTTCCTCTCCAGCTCTTTCACCCAACCTGCGTGCCTCACAAGCACCTTCCGTGGTCCGTAAAACCTCTCTTCGTGATCCTTCCGTCCTGACTCATTTTCGCCTCTTTCACAGTGCCTCTATTTTCAGAACTTTCACGACTTTCAGAATCTCTCTGAACTTGCTCCATTATTCATTGCTTTTTGAGGTAACGGCCACAGAAACGCAGCAAACGTAATTCCAGCGTAGCGCTCTGGTCTTTGGCGGGCCTGTTTTCCCCAGCCTTCCAACCCGTGACACCTTGCGCGGCGCCAATGGCAGTGTCAGAGGTTTACTGAAGTTTGTGACGATTTTATTGCCTACATCCAGTGGACTCCAGCGCTTTCACCAGCTATCGAGTGCGCGCACCTACAGATCTCGTGGCACTGACCGCCCGCAGCCCTGCCAGACCCCTCCGGAGGCTCCGGCCTGGTCCGCAGGGACCCTACCGCCGGTTTTAGTTGGCACAGACCGACACTGTTGGTCCCTCAGGGGTCAGTACTTGGCCCAGTCTTGTTCAACTTCTTCATCAGTGACCTGGATGGAGAGTTAGAGTGTACCCTCAGCACGTTTGCTGATGACACCAAACTGGGAGGAGCGGTGGATACACCGGCAGGCTGTGCTGCCATTCAGCGTGACCTGGACAGGCTGGAGAGCTGGGCAGAGAGGAACCTGATGAGGTTCAACAAGGGCAAGGGCAGGGTGCTGCACCTGGGGAGGAACAACCCCAGGCACCAGTACAGGCTGGGGCTGACCTGCTGGAGAGCAGCTCTGCGGAGAGGCACCTGGGT